GTGTGTGTGTGTGTGTGTGTGTGTGTGTGTGTGTGTGTGTGTGTGTGTGTGTGTGTGTGTGTGTGTGTGTGTGTGTGTGTGTGCTGCAGATGAGGCCCAGCTGGGTGTGTGTTTGTGTGTGTGTGTGCTGCAGATGAGGCCCAGCTGGGTGTGTGGGTGTGTGTGCTGCAGATGAGGCCCAGCTGGGTGTGTGTGTTTGTGTGTGTGTGCTGCAGATGAGGCCCAGCTGGGTGTGTGGGTGTGTGTGCTGCAGATGAGGCCCAGCTGGGTGTGTGCCGTACGCGTGCCTCATGGCATCATGTCTGCTGTGGGCGGTGTGCTGTTGTGCTGGATGGGGCCAGCAGGGGTCTAGCCACTAACTGGCCATGACTCTACAGCGGCCTGCTGCGGCATTGCTATGGCACCTCTGAAGTACTGCATATGTCTGCTGCAGCTGCAAGCGGAATGTTGGAATGCTGGTGTATGCAACGATGCAGTGCTACTTACTCACTCATGCCGACCGTGTGAAGGCTTTGGGGCGTGTGACGGCTCAAACAACCCAATGTTATTTCCTTGCCCTTGTGTCGTTTGGCGGTGACGTTGACAGCTGTATAACACTTGACCAGGCTTACTGCGGCGTTCGTAAGCGTGTGCAGTGTGTTTTATACCTCTTGGCAGGCTGGCTGGCAGGCTGCACTGCTTGTGCTGCGGCATTGTTCGGGCGCGTGGTGCAAAACGTGCCACCTGCTACGTATCCTTGCATACCCTTGGTGTTGCTTCCATGCAACACGCCGCCGCTACCGTGTACTGTGCATCGCCTTAATGCCTTATTTTACTCTATTGCGTGGAGGGGGCGGGGCATCTGGTGTGTGGGCGTAGCAGGATGGCTGGGCTTCTGTTGAAACATCTGCAGCAGGCTCTGCGGTGCTCTGCGTATGCTGCTCTGGTGATGCTGCATATGCTGCTCTGGAGATGCTGCCTGCTGCCTGCCTGCCTGGGCCGCTGCTCAATCAGCACAGCAGCTGCAGACTGCCGGCTAGCTCGTTTTGCTTGTATATACTCTGGTGTCCTGGCGACCGCTGTACACTCTGCAGCTGAGCACACAGGGCATGTCGACTGGGCTAACATGTCATCGTAGCATGAACAGAGCTGGAGTCGCTGCTGTGTGGTATGGTGCTTAACTTGTGGGTGAGGCAACAGTGGAGGTGCGCTGGCAGTGGGACACACGCAGTGAGCTGTCTGCTGTGTACTGCACTGCGAGGGGTGGGAGCCCCTGGCGCTGCTGCTGAAAACAAACCATGCGGCTGTGTACAGGCTGTCGGTCCGGGGCGTGGCTGTGCGATATGTGGTGGGGTTGGAATCGCCTCGTGTGGAACTGCTGCGCATGACATGCTTCAGGTGCTGTGTTGCGTGCCAGCCTTGTGTTGCCTGCAAGCTGTGGCCTCGGCACCTGCAGCTCCCTTTGGGTGGAGTTTCCTGCAAGTTTCCTGCAAGTGACGTCACTTGCGACGAGCCTACGCTGTGCGCATGTGTGTACTGCCTGTGTGCAACTGCTGCCCCATGCAAGTTTGGTTGTGGTGGTGTGGGAGGTTTGCAATGAGCTGCTGCTGCTGCTGCTTGTCATTGCCGAATGCCATGACGCCCAGCGGCCCAGCTGCAACTTGTACAACATGTCATTCGCTGGAGTGTACTTGACGCGGAGGGTGCTGACTAACATTGGGTCATTTGATGAGGGGTTCATGCAGCATGCGCTAGCACCGTTTGAGGCATGCTGTCTGGTGACTGGGACGACTCTGGCGAGCGAATGTGCTGGCCCATCCGCTTGCGCAGCAGCAGCTGGGTGCTCGGTGTAATCTTTGTGCTTGCTTGCCACACCTGTGTGTCGCCTGCATCATACTATGCTTTGTTCACGGACCGTACCGCTACACCAGTGTACTGCTGGTGATTTGATACTGCCTAGCCGGCTCAGCTGCTTGCCCGCTGTGCGGCTGTCGGGAATGGCACGTTTGGGTTGAGGGATTGACCCTGCTGTGAGGGATGTGTGGGCTGTGGGAATGGCTTGTTGGGGTTTGAGGGACCAACATTGCTGGGAAGGATGGTGGACAGGCTTGCATGGGCAGCAGAGGTGTGGGGGCTGCAAGTGCGTGGCACTGAGGATGCAAAGAAAGCGCGACTTGCGTGAAGCACGTGTGAGCCTGCTGCTCATCAGCCACCAGGTCACATGGCAGCTGATGGGGTTGTTGCGTGTTGATCGGCTGCTGGCCTGCTGTTGGGTGTTGTGCCGCCAGCACTGCTCCCTCTGCTGCTCAGCTGTGCAATGTTGAGCCTTATGTGACTGCAATCATGTAGCACAGGGCAGATGGTGGCGGTATTATTTCATCAACGTGTGTGCTGCCCTCAGCGATTTGTGCGGGTGTATCTTCGCGACAGCCATACACACGCAGACATGTGTGATTGGGGTGCGCGCAGGAAACAGGGATGCTCTGTGGTTGCATGGGCATGGGCTGGGCTTGATTGCTGGTGTGTATCTATCTCAGATACTTGCCGTTTGGCGAGGTATGTTGGCTGGCTGAATGGCTTGAAAGAGTGCGTGTTGCACATTGGCTTGAAACCTTCCACCAGCAGCACAGTTGCTGCTCGCGTGGTGACTTTGCGGCTGCATGTGTCTTCAACGCGATGCGTGCATTACTACTTCAGTACACCACTGCAGTACATTGCCACTGCAGTACATTATGACTGCGGCACATTACCACCAGTACATTACCACCGCAAGTGTGGCGACCTTCACGCAACGTTCTGGTTTCACTGCATGCAACGTGTGTGCAGTAGACCCAGCGGCATGCGCTCACACAACACACTGAGGATACCCTGTTTGTGCTGCTTGTTGAGCTTTACTCATTCTGTCATGTGCTGTCAACTCCAATACCTTATTTCATATAGTGAGAGGTGTGCTGCTGTGCGTGCTGCAGAGCAGTCTGATTTCACATGCGTGTGTGCTGCCTGCGCATATCTTCATGCAGTGTGCATGTTGTGCCTCAGCACCCAGGCTAATGAATGTGCACATGAGCCCCCAGACCATAGATGCTGAGGCTGCATATGGTCGCCTGACCATCATGTTCACCATTTAATTCAAAGCCAACAGTGCTACGTCCTGCCCTTTCACGCAAAAGGGAAGGCAGGCCAACTGCTGCTTTGTGCCTCCTGTGGCTGGGTGTACGCCTGGTTTGCTGTTGACGTAGATTTTGCATGTTGTCTTTGTGGAGATGCAGGCAGGTTGCAGGCCAACTGCAAGCCAGGGGAAAGTTGCTGGTGGTGAGGCAGGCGGGACAACAGAGCCAGGTTTTTTTTAGGCTTATGGCTCTTTGGTCTGTTTGGTTGACGGATGAGTGTGCAGTGATGTACCAGATGAGCACGATGCTGGCGCAACCTCCGTGCTGTGTGTTGCAGACTGCTCACCCGTATTGACATGGGTGGTTGTTGAGTTGACCATGATGCTGCACATGTCTTTGACCACCTCACCACTTTGTTGCTTGTCGGCCACTTGCGCTGCATTGTGGTCAGGATGCTGCAGCTGCAGCATTTGTGGGACGTGCTGCTTGTGCGTTGTGTCACACACTGCACACTGCATCGTCAGCTGGGAATCAGGGCTGAGGTTGCCGCTTCCATTGTGGGTTTGAGGATGGGTTTGTTCTCACACTTGCAGGACCTGCTGGTCTATGTAACCGCTGTATCAAAGAACCCTGCTGTCTCTTGGATCTGCTATTGGCAGGGTGGACAGTTGCTGTTGTGCACAGTGGGGAAAGCTTCACGATTTTAAGCAATGGCGCGGCACATCTCCCTCTCACACCAACAACCAGCGTCACTGACGTCAGGCACATTGCCAAGCCCTAAACCAGGTGCACAGCTGCATGCGCGTATGCTCTCAAAAGCTAAGCTAGGGGCACTGGGATGATACAGTCTGGTTTTCGTGAGGTGTTACGCTTACGATTGCATGCTGGTGCCTAGCAAGCAACAAGCAGCACAAAAATTGACACAGGAACAGTACCTACATTCACCCCAGCACAGCTACTTGAGCCGCAGAGGTGGCAAGTTTACTGACTCCTGAAGTATAGTCTCATAATTTTTAGCGATCAACCGCATCAGGATGAAGATCGGGAACGCAGCAACGTTCGTAGGCTTCGTCGTGCTGCTGCGGTGTGCTTGGGCGGTTTCGCAATGTAAGGGCCTATTTATGCCTATATCAAGCCCTTATACATCATATAGTTGTTGCCTGACACGTCGTGGGCTTCTCTTTTGCAGACAGGGACATGCTGAAGCTTACACAGCAAGAGTTCACTGGCCTGCCTCAACACTTGCAGCTGGAACTGCTGATAGGAACAGCTTTATGTTTAATAGGTGAGCAACTTGTGCTCAGGGTGCTGTCTGGGCCTGCTGGCCTGCGCTGCAATGGACAACATGAAACTTGCTGCAGCTTGTGCATGTCACTGCTGCTGCTTGGATCTCTGCTTAATTGCATGTCTGATGTTAATTTGCCTTATTCCCTGGTACGCTCTGCAGGTGGATTTATCATTTCAGGCGGTGTCAAGCCCATTGTCATCAGCAGAGGCGCACCGTGAGTGGCCATGCAGCAGCACCAGCAGCAGCACCAGGCAGGCTGTACAGCGCAGCAAGGCAGCAGTACAACAGCGCTGTTTCATGGCAGGTGCATCTTTCCGGCGTGCGATGTCTGAGTTCAGGGGCTGATCTATAGCCAAGTCAGCTTCACTGGCTCTGCCGTGCATCTTCCAGTGTTGCAGTGTGGCTGCTGCGTACTACAAACACAGGATGCTGATCGCACAGCAGGGTGCCAAGCAGCAGGGCAGACTCAGAAACGCTGCTCATGAACAAGCAGCAAATCAATGCTTGCCTATAATCTAGCAGCAGTACGGTGTGTGGTGCCTTGGCAACCAGGCCTAACCCCTTCTGTATCTGTGCTGCTGCGGTGTGGCTGCTTGCAGGAGCGTGGACACTGGCAGCAGCCG